TGCAGGGCGCCAGTGGCTCATGCCTATCTATAATCCTAGCTACTCAAGAGGCTGAGATCTGAGGATCACTGTTCAAAATCAGCTTGGGCAGGAAAGTCCGTGAAACTCATATCTCCAGTTGACCACCAGAAAACCGGAAGTGGCACTGTGGCTCAAGTGGTAGAGTGCTCGCCTTGAGCTAAAGAGCTGAGGGACAGCGCCCAGGCCCAGAGTTCAAGCCCCAGGACCCATCCCCCAAAAAAGGAAGAAAAATTGTTGAACTTACCTTCAGAATATGAGAAGGATTGATAACATTCTGGGAAGATGTGAAGGATTCTTTCTTTGCCATTCTTAAAACTTTTAAGGCCACCATTGGCTCATGCCTATAATCCTAGGGACTCAAGAAGCTGAGATCTGAGGATCATAGTTCAAAGCCAGCCTGGGCAGACAAATCCATAAGACTCCTATTTCCACCAAAAAGATAGAAGGGAAACTGTAGCTCAAGTGGTAGAACAATACTAGCATTGAACACAAAAGCTTAGGGACAGTACCTAGGCCCTGAGTTCAAGCCCTAAGACCAGCACCAGAACAGCAACAAAACAATTATTTTAAAGGGGTGTTTGAAAAATAACATATTAACTTAAAACTTAGGTATTTGCTTCCTAAGTAAATACCTAAGAATGAGTTGTGTGTGTGTGTGTGTGAGTGAACTTAGAAAGTAAATACCTGTTTCTAAGAATGTAATCAGATGAAACATCAGATGCACTAGTAGGCTGGGGATCAATTATTTAGTTAACTGGCCAGTAAGTGAATTGTGGGTATTATGGACGACTACTTCCTCTTTCTCCTCTTTCTTCCTCCTCCTTCCTTCTTTCTTCTTCTTTCTTTTTTTTTTAAATGAAGAAAGTTACCCTGAGTGTTGTTTATTATCTCTACAGCTGTAGCAAGTACATCATTGCCAGTGCAGTTTGTAATAACCAGAGTATTGGATCAGCAGAGAAACTGCAAAGCAAGCCTTTAAATAACAAAGGAATAAAAGAATTCCTATATAATATGTGCCTACACTTATTTGCGCTCTGTGGCACTATTTGTGCTGAACCAAAGCATCTGCTACCTCAAGTTAAGGGAGAACAAACTCAACGTGGCGTGAAATTACTGCATTGCCATTCACATTCATTAGAGTTACATTGTTACCAGCCATAGGCATGACTGACTTTTGCATGAATAATAAAACAAAATAAAATGCCACTTTGCAAATTTTACCTTAAAACATTACAAGCCTATGTCAAGTATGTCCAGAGTGGATTTCTCTTAGAACAGCTTAATAGGTTGACCAATCAGAACATATAGTGTTGTGTGAGGCTTCGGAGAGAGCATCTTAAACTATTCATTTTTGAAAACTAATGCTTATTGTGCTGGATATTAAAGTACTGTTTGTCAACTGTCATAATAATTGATTGAGACAAAACTCATCAATGGAAGCTAAAGCTAGTAATGATGAGGAAAAGGATGTATATATAATTACAAAGTAGGGAGCAATAGTAGAGTGGAGAAACCTGGCAGGCACCTCATCCAAGTGACTAGAGTTTTCACCAGGAAGGGTGAAATGAGGCCTGGGCTCCGGGAAGATAATACTTCTGTTTTGCTCCTTGTCAAAAATGCATAATTGAATCTAATCCTAAGAAAAGATCAGACAAATCTAAATTGAGGGAAGTCTACCAACTGATTGTACTCAAAGAAGAAAAGAGACATGGCATTTGAAAATAAACTGTGATCCAAAATTTTCCTTTCTTTGGATTTCATTGATATTTTTGTCCTCTGCTAGCTAAATACAGAAGTAGGTATTGAAACAGAAATAGGCTTTCAACTAATAGTTTGTATATAACATATTTAGTTTTTACCCTATCTTACTATCCTAGTTTATGTGGATTTTAAGTGCCTTGCAAGTTTTGATTGTTATCTAAGCAATAGTCTTTAATATTAGGTCTTTTGGCCTAATTGAAAACTCAAGGCTGGGTTTGATGCTTAGTAGTAGAGAACTTGCCTAGCACTGCAAAAAAAACAAAATAAAACAAAAAACAAAAAAAAATCCCAAAACAGAAAACAACAAAAACAGCTATGCCCATGGTGAACACTGGTAATCCCAGCACTCAATAGGTTGAGGCAAAGAGATCATGAGTTTTCAAAGCCAGCTGGCCTACATACCAAGACTTTTTTTTTTTTTTTTACGGGGGAGGGTGAAGGAGAGGAAGGGGATTAGTTGTGGGGCTTGAACTCAAAGGCTTGGGCACTCCTGAACTTTTTTTTTAGTGGTTTTGCTAATTTATTTTAGTAGGCTTATACATTTGAGAAAAACAAATGTATGTAACAATCGTAACAATCAGAATCACAGGTACAAACAAATTATATATTAAGGTAGTTTTCCATTTGGAGTAAAAATTAAAACTTTAGAGCTCCTACAAGTTAAGTATATAGTGCCAATGATTCCAAATAGATGTATTTCCTAATGTATAAGGACATCTTTTATATATATATATATTTTTATTGTAAAGATACTATACAGAGGGTTACAGTTATATGAGTAAGGTAATGAGTATACTTCCTATTGAGCATAGCATTGTTACCCCCTCCATTGTTTTCCCCCACCATCCTTTCCCTCCCTACCTTCCCTGAGGTTCTTTTTTTTTTTTATTGTGATTAAGTGATTACATAATTTCCCGAATTTCACAGGATTGTGGAATAATGATGCTCATTTAAAGTCACAAGTTCATTCTAACTTTCCTGGAGCAAATTGTCTATCACAGTCTATAACATATATCAGTGTACACATGTTATACACCATACATGTGATCAGCTGCATGGGGATATTTAATAGTGGTTCGACCAGATGAGTGGGAGTTCTTTGTTTCTTAAGTCCTGTTAGTTTTGTCGTATCACCTAACATTTTGGATTTAGCATCCACTTAACTCCTGAACTTTTTTGCTCAAGGCTAGTACTCTACCCCTTTAAACCACAGCACCACTTCTGATTTTCTAGTGGTTAATTATTGATAAGAATCTCAGGTAGGGGGGCTGGGAAAGTGGCTCAGTGGTAGAGTGCTTGCCTTGCATGCCTGAGGCCCTGGGTTCGATTCCTCAGCACCACATAAGCAAAAAGAAAAAAGCCAGAAGTGGCGCTTCGGCTCAAGTGGTAGAGCACTAGCCTTGAGCTGAAGAGCTGAGGAACAGTGGCCAGGCCCAAAGTTCAGGCCCCACAACTGGACCAAAAAACAAACAAACAAAAAAGAATCTCAGGTACTTTTTGCCCAGGCTGGCATCAAATCTCAACCTTCTGAGTAGTTTAGGATTACAGGTGTGAGCCACTGGCACCTGGCAAAATTCTATCTTTAAAAAATAAAAAGGAAGATAAAATTAAAAATGATATTATGATAAATATTTTGCCAACTTCTCAGTCAGCAAAAGAGCTCTCAATTAAAAATACTAGAGGGCTGGGACGGTGGCTTAGTAGTAGAGCACTTGCCTTGCATGCATGAGTCCCTGGGTTGGATTCCTCAGCACCACATAAGCAAAAAGAAAAAAGCTAGAAGTGGCGCTGTGGCTCAAGTGATAGAGCACTAGCCTTGAGCTGAAGAGCTGAGGGACAGTGCCCAGGCCCAGAGTTCAAGCCCCACGACCGGACCCAATAAATAAATAAATAAAATAAAAATGCTAGAAGCAGAGTGCTTGCTGGTAGCTCACACCTGCAATCCTAGCTACACTGGAGTATTGAGCTCTTTGGATCCCCGTTCAGAGCCAGCCTGGGCAGGAAAATTCATGAGACTCTTTTGTATCTCGTTAACTAGACAAAAGCCCGAAGAAGAGCTGTGGCTCAAGTGCCAGCCTTGGGTGAAAAAGCCAAGTGAGAGCAAGATTAAACTCCTGTATTGGCACACAACCCCCCCCCACCCCCCCCCACTAGAATGTATCATTTTAAGAGTTTGGTGAGCAGTTAAAAAAGAAGTAGTGTGATAACTAAGATGAATTCATAAAGAAGTTTGGTGGCTTTTAGATAGATTTTCTTTTCAGAGGCAATTTGATAATTGTCTGATTTTTTTTCTTTTGTGGACAAGATGAAGAAATTGAGTGGTTGTAGTTCATTTAGTGAATAATTAATTGAAAACCATATCCAAGATTAATGATTGGTTGTCACTTTCAAGATGGTTTCTAGCACTGTAACTGTTGCTAAGATCTATTCTTAGCCCTGTTCTAAGGTTTAATTAATAATTTATATACAGCATTGATGACATGGATGAAACTTTAAAATGACTCAGGTGGGAGGGATAACCTAAAGTTACAGATGATCTGATCAAGAAAGAAAATGATTGTTGAGAATTAATAAGCAAGAATCTAAGTAAATCAAACAAGAATAGATTCTATAAGAACAGTCTTAGTATGATAGATTAACAGTGGGAAAAAGTTCATGGAATATCAGTTGCCAGATGTCCAGTTGGTGGTTTATTGATTTGTTTCTTTAACTATTTGACTTAATGTATATTATTGAGTCATCAGAAAAATGGAAATCATACTTGCAATTTCAAAGATAAGAAAATACAGGAATATAGGTGTTTAGAAAGCTAAAACAGAAAATGGGACATTGAACTATTAGGTAGTTACCACACTCCTTGCACTTTGTGTCCTTTATGCTGAAAATGAAGCATAAAACTAATTTGGCCTTGATCAGGTGAAGGTGGTATCCTGCTGCATACTCATCTTCAAAATGGCTTTACCACGAATATTCCTTCTTCCTGAGATGTATTGTGATTTTTTTAGAAAGGATAAATGTTTTAAGAAGTTTAGACAGGGATTTTTTTTTCAACAACGTGGCTAGTATTTTTTTATCTTCTTTCACTCTATTTCAACGTTATTATATTGATATAAAATTGAGTATTTTAAGATAAAGTTATTGTCATAACCTGAAACATTGGAGAGCAAAGTTTAGAATTGATTTCTTTGTCTCTTTTCCCCCTAAATATTGTTCTTTAGGTCAGTAACAGATCCAAGAGATGGAAAGAGAGTAGCACTCAAAAAGATGCCCAACGTCTTCCAGAATCTGGTCTCTTGCAAAAGAGTCTTCCGGGAATTGAAGATGTTGTGTTTTTTTAAACATGATAATGTAAGTGAAACTGGTGTTTGGGGGAAACTATTTCCTAAACCTATTTCCCTGAATCTGTAGAGAACAAAGAATTGAAAAGTGTGTATGTAAGTTTAACATTTAAAAATCAGCTGCTTTTATGCCAAACTCTATGAAAAGAACTAAGCACATCCATGAGGTAGGTTTTATAATAACTATTGGTAGCTTTTATTTAAAACATTCTTATTGAAGGAACATATACAAATATATATACTCTCATACAGTTTTCTAAGCTACTGTTCTTTTATTCTTCTTCCATTATTTTCTTTTAATATATACTCTTCTTTTGTTTTTGGTCCAAGACCAGGACTTGAACTCTATCTGATGCTTTGCTACCTGAGCCATGCCTCCAACCCCTTAGTATAATATACTCTTAATGTCTCTATGACTGTCTTAATTTTTCACTGTTGAAAGTAGTAGTTTAGGGCTGGGAAGGTGGCTCAGTGGTAGAGCGCTTGCCTTGCATGCATGAGGCCCTGGGTTCGATTCCTCAGCACCACATAAGAAAAAAAGAAAAAAGCCGGAAGTGGCGCTATGGCTCAAGTGGTAGAGCGCTAGCCTTGAGCTGAAGAGCTGAGGGACAGCGCCCAGGCCCAGAGTTCAGGCCCCACG